CTCTCTCTTTCTTAACATTTCTTTTAATCACAATTGTCAATTTTTTGCTCATTTTAAATATATTTTTAACCATTTTCTTAATTATTTTTTATATTTTTACATTTTTTGTTTTTGTGAAGCGCCTTGTGATTTTTATCTTGAGAGGCGCTATAGAAATGCTATTTTCTTCTTCTGCCTTCTTCTTCTTCTTCTTCTTCTTCTTCTTCTTCTTCTTCTTCTTCTTCTTCTTCTTCTTCTTCTTCTTCTTCTTCTTCTTCTTCTTCTTCTTCTTCCTTATCAAATCCAGAGTAGAAGTGGCAAAAAACAAATTGCACATGGCCACTTGCATAAAAACTGTCGATTCATAGTCAGTTTACACTCTCTCTCTCTCTCTCTCTCTCTCTCTCTCTCTCTCTCTCTCTCTCTCTCACACACACACACACACACACACACACACACACACACACACACACACACACACACACACACTCACACACACACACACACACACACACACCTAAAAGGCAAGATAAGCTGAAGCAACAGCGTCTGAAAACTAAAAACGACTGTGTGTTTGTGGGATGTTGGGATGTTTTTGCCTGAGGAGGGAAACCAAGCCCAGAGACAAACACTGCCACTGCTCACGAACCCTGGCGTCATGATGATTAACAACTCAGATGTTCTAAAATAAATAAAAACAAATGTGCCAAAAAAATCTCTTTATATATACTGTAGAATCTGTTCAATATATACAGACAGCGATGCAGCAAATAATATCTGACACATAACCTTAGAAAGGCATCAACCTTCAGTTATAAATGTTTCCAGCTAACAGCTCTAGGAATCATCATGCTGACGCTATAAACCATGTTATGTTAAGAAAATGTCCTATTTCTGATCTTTTACAGATTCATCCAAAGATGTGAGTTTAAAGCCTCACAACAGCATCGTATTTATCATCACATTTTAATTTTCCACCTTAAAGAGCTTCCTGACAATGATCTGGTCTGGGTAAGTTGCAGACCTCCATGGAGCAGTTTTAAGACTTTCTGCTAGCTGCCATCAGCCCTTGTAGATAACCTCTCAAGTAGGATCAAACTACTATGATACATATGCATGCAGATCTGGAAAAGTCTTAACATGTTAACTAACAGACTCGCTCTACTGTTCAGACTGACCCATGATTGTAGCACAAATTTCAGTGAGCTTTTTCTGAAAAGTAATTATGTTAGATTTAGTGGACAAAAATTATGAGCAGTTTTTTTTCTGTTACAACAGCTTGATTGCTGACACCAATGAAAGTTTCTGTTACATTGTTTTGATGTATTTGTTTTTGTCCAGACTCTAGGATTTTTGTGTCAATAAAACAAATCAGGGCTAGGATTGATTTAGCAAACTCTAATTGAGAAGAAGCAAACATCAATGTCTCCACGACTAAGGCCTTGTCCGCACATAGCCGGGTATCTCCCAAAGCGAAGGTAAATTTCTACAATTCGGCCTGCCATCAAAATAAAAATGCAGATTTACGTAACCAAAATAAATCTTTTTAAAAACTTTGGCCAAATAAAAGATTAGCATTTTTCCATTTTAAGCGTTTGAGTGGACAGAAACAACTGGAGTTTTAGATTTCACAACGTCACTGTCTGCGACAGAAATGCTCATGGCTGCCCTCAGAGCTGTGTTCACGTTATCAATTGTGCAAGCGCTTTTTATCTTTTAGCAATTCTACCTCCTTATTGATCCACACAAACGAGCTAGGCACCATGTTTCATGTTTTGCTGAAGTTGAGCAGGAAAACAATACGGATAGGTATCTTTTGTACCTTCATTCTGTGTGTTTCATCTACCTGCATTACTACAGGCCATTTTTGAGACTTTCCAGTCTGGCTTCAGAGCTCTACACAGCACGGAGACTGCACTGGTTAGAGTGCTAAATGACATTTATCTCGCTACTGATGTGTTGTTACTTCTGCTGGACCTCACGGCAGCCTTTGACACGATAGACCATGAAGTGCTGCTTCACCGTCTCCATCATAATGTCGGGATTTCTGGGTTAGCCCTCGAGTGGTTCAGATCATACCTGACAAATAGAAAAATGTGTGTAAGGATGGGAAGTTATTCCTCAGAGTACTCTGATCTACCCTGGGGGGCACCACAGGGCTCGATATTGGGACCTTTGTTGTTTTCTGTTTACATTCTGCGCGTAGGTGACATCTGTAGTGAGCTTGGAGTTCACTACCACCTTATGCTGACGATTGTCAGCTGTACCTGCCTCTGAACATGTCAAGTGGTCTCTCTATTTCTATTCTTACGAACTGTTTGAGGGAGATCAAGACCTGGATGAGTGGAAATTTTCTGAGCTTAAATGATCAGAAAACAGAGGCTATATTGTTTGCTCCAAGCATACATTGTGACTCTTCCCTAACTGACTGTGGGTCATTTAATGGCCAGCTGAGTGCATCAGTGACTAATCTTGGTGTTAAACTAGATAGCGCCCTTAGTTTTGATACCCACATCAATGGGGTGATCTCCTCCCCCTTTTTCCACCTTCCTCGGCTGACAAAGATCAAACCTTTCTTGTCACGACATGATCTTGAGACGGTAGCCCATGCTTTTATTACGGTGTGATTGGACTACTGTAACAAGGGCTCAATAGCCAGGTTGCAAATAGTAAATCGCCTGTATTTGATATAGCGCCTTCTAGAGTCCTAGAACCCCTCAAGGCGCTTTACAACACAATCAGTCATTCACCCATTCACACACGCATTCACACACTGGTGGGGATGAGCTACGATGTAGCCACAGCTGCCCTGGGGCGCACTGACAGAGGCGAGGCTGCCGAGCACTGGCGCCACCGGTCCCTCCGACCACCACCAGCAGGCAACGTGGGTTAAGTGTCTTGCCCAAGGACACAATGACAGCAACAGACTGAGCAGGACTCGAACCTGCAACCTTCCAATTGCGGGGCGAGCACTTAACTCCTGTGCCACCGTCGCACCGTAGTGCAGAATGCTGCTGCCAGGTTTTGAGGGCAGGCGCAAGTATGACCCCATTACTCCTGTCCTGGCTGCACTTCATTGGCTGCCCGTTGATGTAAGGATTCATTTTAAGATACTTTAGCTGGTTTTTAAAATGTCAAATGGTTAGGCCCCTCCTTACTTGGTGTCACTGCTTCAACCGTACACCCTTGCACGGTCACTCTGCTCGGAGAACCTCATGCTCCTCTCGGTCCCAAGATCGCACCTAAAGACGCGTGGTGATAGGGCCTTTGCTGTGGCAGGTCCTAAGCTTTGGAACGAGCTTCCTCTTAGCATAAGGGCCTCCACCTCTGTGATGGTTTTTAAGGCAAGGCAAAAAACCTATTTTTATGATCTGTCTTTTAATCTTTCTAACTAGTTTTTATTGTTTGACTTATAGCGATTTGTGCACTTACTGTATTTTTTATCTGTATCTTGTGATACAATGTTTTTATTTTCTGGATTTAATGTTTTATGTTTTTAGTTGATCTGTGTAGTGCCTTGGTGGCATCGTTTTGCCTGTAAGGTGCGATTTATAAATAAAGGTGAGTTGAGTACTTGGTTCTTTTTTAAACAAAGCAAAGGAGTTGTTTTTATCTTGTTTTTGCTTCGCTGCTATTTTAGTCTTCCTCATCGATGAAGCTCTGAGTGTTAGTCGAAACATCAGCAAAAACAACTCTTGCTGTGTTTAAAAAAACAAGTGATGCAGTTAAATGTATAGGATTTGAGGGAAATACTGCCACCTACAGGTCTGGCATGCCTATAAATATGCTTAACAATGCACTTACTTCTGATTGGAGTTTTTTCTAAAAACAAAGTGGTATGGACGCTATTTTTTGGGAGGGCAAATATTTTTTTAACTGCTACGTGGACAAAACCTAAATTTTAAAATAGTAAAATTTAAATAACACATTCAGAAGATAATCCAGTATTTTGAGATACAGATGATTTATTTTACAGCCAAACTCACAAAAGTGACCCATAATCAGTTTGAAAGACATGTTTGACAGTTTTCTGCTCACAAACTGCTAAAAGGACCCAGTTTTTGAGCTCTGTGGAAGCTGGGGGGTTGGATTTCATTAATGGATGAGACCCAAAGGGATTCTTGACCTTTCCATTCACAAAGGGATCTCTGAACATGAACCGTTTGGTAAACAAATAGTTTTAAAGTCTGACAAAAATAAATAAATAAAACGTGCTGATGGTGGAAGAAATAGAAAGGTTCAAATGAAAAAAAATACGTATATAAATAAAACAACAAACTGATCATAAATATAAGATTTAAAATTATATACTTAAAATTCAAATTGGCCTGTTACAAAAATACACCAAACTGGCTCTCGTGAGAGGTGTAAAAACTTTAGTTTCAGGTCATCGAAACTTACAACCCCGCTGTTGAAATGCATCCTGATATGTACGAAAGATTACATACACTTTTAGTCTGGTTCAGGCAGCATGGATGTCAGAAAACATATAACTCTAACCCTAAAACAGCAAGAGCTGTGTTGGTTTTGACATCCCTGAAGGCAGGAAAGGAAAAGATGGAGGATTCTGATAAAGTCAGAGTGGATAACAGAAACTCAACATCTCTCACAGGAAAATGTCTTTTTAAATTGACTTATGAAGGATTTTCTGCTGTTCTTGTTTTCTGTGCTGTAGAAAAACAATGAAACAATTATCAATATGGCGTTGTCCTTACAGCAGTAGTAGACGGTCATGTCTGTTCAATCACCCAGAGGAAATAATCAGTCCGTTGAATGTTTCTGAAACTGTCTTTATTGTCTGCCTGCTCAGATAGAGTGCTGCAGGAGGAAAATCTGAAATCAAAGTTTCTATTTAACATTTCAAATTTAGTTTGTCTGGTGAGTCCCAGCTTTGCTTATGCAGTTAATAATTCAGATGAACAACTCAGAGTTTTTGTCCTGATCAAAGGAATATAGACCTTACGGAAATTTGAACTTCATCTAGGGGTCTGACCACCACAGTGGGAGGTGCTGGATTTCTGTCAAGACACAACAAGTCTGGATTTTGACAGTAGACAATCAGAGGGGGTCTGAAGGTCTGAGGCAACCAACAGGGAGTAAACCAGCATTTGCTGCTGGACAACATCTGGCTGCACCGGGATGAACTTTGAAAATGTTTAATTCTGCCTCCAACAGCTCGGTAAGAACTATTAATGAATTAATGTATTTATTTATTCACGTGCAGAGTTCACCAGCATTTCCTAACTAAATAACTTTTTTTAAGCCTCTTACTCGGCCTTTTTTATTCACTCAAAATGCGTGCAGCTGATGCGTAACCAAATTCTGGAATAGTATAAATGAAAATCAGCAGAGGTGACCACAGTGGCGCGCGCGTGACAGAATCCTCACATGCGAGCGCCAGCGGCTCCTGCCATGCGCACGTGCGAGGCACAGCGCAATCAGTCAGAATGAGACGCACCTGCGCGCAAGACCGATAGAAATAATGTCCTTAGGTAAAAAAAATCCTGCTAATTAAATTGATTTTATTAATGAAGAATATTTGGTTGTTGGTGCGCTTTGTCTGGGCAGTAAAAGTGGAACACAATAATAGTTACTAATTCTGGTGTTTAAGCTAATATGTGGACTAGAGACACTCGCTAACAGTGTGGTTTTGATGGAAATATGAAGAGGCTCCATCTTTCTGTCACTCTGGATGCAGGTGCGTCGCTGCGGTCTCCACACCATGTCGGAGGGAGAAAATCAGACCGCAGAGGCTGTTTTCACTCAGCTGCAACACGGGCAAACTTTTTACGACACAGTAGGTGTTTTCAATCTCGAATTAACAGCTTGTTTTCTTTTCAATAGAGACCAAGGGTGGGAAGTTTGATGAAGTAACAAGCGCGAGCTCGGTGCACGCGACATTAAAAGTGCTAAAGCGAGGTTAAAAAAAACTTTACTTTTACTGACTGAACATTTACAAACATTTGTTTAATAAATAGACTGAAAACAAGTAGAGGCCTTCTTTGTAGTTTTCACTGTCAAAACTTGCAGGAAGTCTCTCTAAATGACTCTTAACAGCAGACCTGCTTAAAGTTTAAACAAAGTATTGTAGGTGATAAACAAATCTTTAGGCACATAGTTGATATTTGTAAAGTGTCAAAGAAATAGAAATATGACCATGAAAGGAGATTATTATGCTAAATATTAAAATGCCATATTACCAGACTTGATTATTTATTTATTAATAATAATAAAAATAATAATTTTATCCAATTTGAGTCTGTTCTATAAATCTTTCTCTTTCTGGTATTTATCTTTTAAAAAGTGCCATATTAGGCCTCAAATGTTTTAGATAGGCCACTATTCTAAAAATATCCAGGCTTTTTTGTATTTAGAAGCTATTTTCTTAATTGAATAAATCTAAACATGGATGTTTAAAATTACTTGTTTAAGAAACCCGAAAACTGAAGATCCGCATTCCTCCCTTTAAGATTTTAGTTTATCTAGTCGCCTTACTGGAAACCTTCTAGTATAACTTTTTTTTTTTTACAATGTGTCATTCAAAAAATAATTTATGGCTGTTTTCCCCAAATGATCAACTTTTAATTATGGATTATTTCATTACATCAGTCTAAATGTTTTAAAGAGCAAAACAAACATAATTATAAAATGGTCTATGTTAAAACTGTATTTGGCTGTTTAATATATATATATATATATATATATATATATATATATATATATATATATATATATATATATATATATATATATATATATATATATAATGGAGAAATAAGTAATTTTCTCTTAAATAGTGTTTTTCAAAGAACTCTTTGTATTCCTCCATATTAACACATTTTAACATTGCCATCTTATTTCTGACAGTGCTCCTCCGGACCTGATGACATTTTTGAGGATGAGCTTTACTCTCCTTCTTCCCTCTCTGCATCCTCCCTCTCCTCCGCCCCAACAGTGGCTTCCCAGCAGGAGCAAACCGTGTGTACCGCCTGTGGCCTAGAGATCGTGGACAGATACCTCCTCAAGGTTAACTTAATAAGACCACTAAAAGTGGTTTATTAAACCTCTAGAAGTCCAACAAAGCCATTGATGTTGAAATGAAATAAGTAGGTCTCAACGTATTAGCTGTAACTCTTGTGTCTTTCTGAATTTTCCTGTTCAGGTGAACAACCTCTGCTGGCACGTGCGCTGCCTCTCATGCAGCGTGTGTGAAGCATCACTGGGGAGACATGTGAGCTGTTTTGTGAAAGATAGACAGGTTTTCTGCAAACTTGACTACTTTAGGTATGCGAAGATGTGTCATCTTATGTCTAGACAACTTCTGTTTTATAATTGTTGGTCTGTTATTAAAATGGGAAAGTTGTTTATTATAAATAAAGAGTATTAGAACAACGAAAGGGGAAAAAGTGGTAAATGTTTCAGAAGGGGACAGATTATTGCTTAGCAGTCCAATTCCTTTTAAGAAACTAGCATCTCAACCAAGTGAATCTGAATTATTTTTATTTGTTTTCAAAGTTGTAAAATCGATAAACCATCTTGCTATTACCTGATGCACATGGGCTGCACGGGGGTGCAGTGTGGTGCGTTTCCTCACCAATAGGTCCCAAGTTCAAATATCAGCTGCCCTGTTGTGTGAAGAGTTTGCATGTTCATGTACGAGTAGATTTCTGCAGTGTTCTTTGAAGTGACCTTGGGAGAGAGTTTTAGAAAGCGTGATTCCCATGTGATGTACTGGAAACCTGTCTGGTTGGACTCTAGCCCTTGTCTGTTGATAGTTTTTATTCTTTGTTTATCCACATTATTTTTTATGGGGACTTAGAGTTTTTAGGTAAGTTAAAGTCTTCCACACAGGATACGGTTTGAGATTCAAAGCATAGCAAGTTTCCATGTGCAGTGAAGTCCTTACTGAGCTCACTGAAGCTTCTGGGTGAATGATAAACATGACAAAGTAGGTGAGCTCTTTGGAAATATCTTAATCAGCTTGGCTTCTAGCTTTGTGCCTCAGTTTTATTTCTGGAACTTTATTTAACCCACAAACTCATTTTTTAAGTATTTAGTATTTTTTGGCACTAAAGTAAGTGACAGTCCTGCCAGAGATGGTTTCTGTCTGCCTGGGTGGCTTCACTGTTTCTGCCATTCTTACTCCTCTTGAGAAGATCCTACTCTCAACATGGTCTCAGGCTGTTTATCTGTATGGATGCTGGCTTTGTGAAGCCACGGGAACTTTCACCATGAAAATGTGGTTCTTTAACAACTAACTGTGACGAAATATTTAAGGCTGTTATAACGAATCAGCAAACAAGCTAGTAAAACACAAACACAGTCCCCTTGGGTGTCCTTCCTGGATCACCATCCACGGTAACAGGAAACCCACAATGCCACAGGAAACAGGAGAATGCTAAACACCAGTCAATGTTTTCTATGTCCAAATGTATTTAGTTGTGTTTTTCTTTTTGGGACTCTAGTAGTTTGTTCTAAACTTGAAGTGGTAGCAGCCGGTTATTTCTCCTTCTCCGATACTATCGAGTGGAGAACCTCTTACTTCAGTGAGGACCCGGCAAAGTGTGGCGGCTTGTTGAGATCAACAACCGTATGGTCCAATAGTTACTCTTGGTCTAAAATGTGTTATTGGCATAGGTTTTAAGACAAATGCGAGAAAACCACTTTATTATTTTTTTAATCTTCATTATTTTTTTAGCTATTCTATGGTAGAACAATATTAAGAGGCATGAAAAAATGTTTTAAGTAAATCTGTTTTCCAAATTTGCCACTGTATCTTTAATTTTGTTTTATTTAATCAGACTTCTTGTTTCCTCCTTTTTGATCAGGAGGTATGGCACTCGCTGTGCTCGCTGTGGCAGGAACATCCGCTCTACTGACTGGGTGCGTCGAGCACGGGGGAGCACCTTCCACCTGGCGTGTTTTTCCTGCACCTCCTGCAAGCGCCAGCTCTCTACTGGAGAGGAGTGTGGAATACTAGAGAACAGGGTCTTCTGTCGCGCTCACTATGACATGATGTTGGAGAATCTCAAACGTGCTAAAGAAAATGGTACGCCCAGTCTTCCAAGCGGTTCTGTTACTGTTTATCTTTTGACGTGGTCCACTCTCAGGCATGTGGTCCAACTTTATTCATTCATTCATTCATTTTACATCCTATTTTCCATGGAGTGTTGCACAGAGCTTGTGTCTCTCAAAAGCAGTCACCAGGTTACACCCGGGGCTGGTCAGTGTTCCACCACAGAGCCATGAACAAGATGCACAACCCTTTTGCTCACACACCCACATCTAGTGTGTCTTATAAACAGCAGACACTCTGACATATTTTGCCTTGTCTTCTACCAAAGAGCAGCCAAAAGTAGATGAAGAGACAACCAACAAGGATGATACTAGTACTGCGGGCCGACCCACCAAGAGGGCCAGAACCAGCTTTACTGTGGACCAGTTACAGGTACCGTTCGTAGGTGTTAATGTCTGTTAACTAATGAGTCATTGTCTCACTGACTAAACGCATGAAGTCATTTGGAGTTTCTCAACATGGAATGATTGGATTGGCAGGATTTTTATGTCTAGTTTTAAAAATTACCATAAATATTATTTCTTTAAATAAATTTATAACAAAAATGCTTAACTAACAAATCCGAGAACCTTGTAGCCATTTGTTTTAGGGCTGCTATTGAAGCCATTTTCACTCGCGTGCTTTACAGGAGCTAAAAATCGTGATGTAATGTCGCGATGCATTCTAGGAGGTAACCCGATGCAAATAAATGTGCATTTGCATGGGTCTTTACGGTTCTGAGTCACTCTTGATGATAAAAATGGGCCACAGTCAGTCATTCACTGGCAGTAATAAATCTGGGATGTTCGTTGGCTTACAAGTTTTACTTTATCTTGGGGTGTTTCACTCAGGACCTTGTTATAACATCAATAGGAACTAGTCAGACTTTCCACTCCTGAGAAAAGCAAATCTTAAAAAAGACTTTAGTTTGTGTTTTTCTGTGTTTTTACAGTCACTGGAAGAATGTGGCTGTGTGCAGCGGGTTTTTGAGTGTAAATGTAATGAAATCTTATCTGTTTAGGTGATGCAAACCCAGTTTGCTAAAGATAACAACCCCGATGCCCAGACACTTCAGAAACTGGCAGAAAGGACTGGGCTCAGTCGCAGAGTGATCCAGGTAAAACATTTGGCATCGAGGGGATTGTCATTGAGCTAAAAATCAGAAACCAGCTGAGATCCTCCTATTTGGGGCTGTAATTTATTTTGTGTCCAATACATAAAAAAACATTCATGCTTGATTAACTGCAATTGTGTTAAAAATCATGAAGACCTTTGCTTACAGCCAGGTACACACTGTGGTTTTTCAGCTGTCCCAAAGATTCATGTCACACTGTGAGGACTCTAGAGAGGTGGCACACTGTGGTCCGAAATTTCTTTGAGCCCTGATGTCTTGCTCTAGAAGGAAACTCCATGAATGTACTCACTTAGAGCATACATCACCAAAAGTTGACAGCTAGCCAAAGTAACAATGATGGAAATAGAAAAAGACACCACCATTATAAGAACCGAATTCCAAAAAGGAGTGGTCCACATGTTCTTGCGGGTAGGTGTAGCCTCCATTGTAGCTAATGTTACTCTTCATTACCCTCATCACTAGTTTATTTGCCAGGTTTATTGACATTGTTTGATTTGCAGATGGAAGTTGTAATCTTTCTCACACAGATGACTGTTGGAAGCTGAATTTGGTCGTGAGAGTGCTCATTAAGCTGTCCCTGGGCCGGACACAAATCTGCAAATCACCCACATGTTCGCAGTTTTTTGTTAACAACAAGAGATTTGTCTTGGATGGCCGACAAACGCACAGTGTGGCCCGGGCTTTAGACTGCATCATTGAAATAGTTTGGAAATTGAAACAAAATTATAACTAATGCAAAAATGGATGCAAAACACCACAACTCTTTCTAGAAGGTCATGAGTCAAATCTCTCCCTACGTTCAGGTTTGGTTTCAGAACTGTCGAGCTCGTCAAAAGAAGCATATAAGTCCAAATCCAAATTCTTCGGGCATAATGACATCACTTGCTCCAGGTCAGCTGACTCCACCCTTATTGGAGGATCTGTATACAACCTACATCCCCCCTGACACACCCCTCCTCACCTCTCTAACCTACATGGATGGTAAGTCATTTTCTATGTGCTTCATCAGGCTATTAAACAACACAGACACTTCTAGAAGAGTCATTTTTAATTTCTAAATATAATGTTTTTTTTATGGTGATCAGTTCAACCCACGTTAAATTTGCTGTATATTTGTTCTTGTTTCCCTCCTGCAGTCCAGACTCCAGACCAGCTTCTGCTTCAGCCTCTTCTGAACAACTCACTCGCACATCTCCCTATCAGCCAGGCCTGAGTTTTACCTCCTGGACAAATGGGGTTTAGTAAAGGTTGAAAGGCTAAAGGGAAATCATTAGTAATAAATATGTTATGTAAGGGGTAATGGGTGAAATGGCAAAGGCACACAATTTCTTTTTTTCTTTCACACAGGCACAGACAGATAAAATGAAGTTGAAATTAGAAAATATTACGTGAATTTTTGCTTGATGAAAGTTCTGTTAATATGAATGTAATGAATTTATGTCTTAATTTATTTTTTGTATGAAACGAGGCACTTTGTTTTAAAATGGTGTACAAAAGTAATTTAGTTATGAGTTAAGCTGATGAACTGAGAAAATGTTTCACAAGGGTAACAATAAGATATTTTTTGTACTTTTTCTGTTAAAGGTTGATCTTTTCAAAATTGTGTTACAGTAAATTTGGGCCTTTTGGGAATTGAATATCATCTATGTCGGTCTGCAAAAAAGACTTAAGATTTGTTTAAGAAGGTTCAGGAAAGGGGTCACCTTTCTTGTTTTTATTTTACTTGCATAATAAAACTGTTCACTTTCCACAGATCCATATATAATTTTTTATTGTGTTTCTGCATTAGCTGCAGACAATAAGATGTGCAAATGTATCATCAGATGGTGAAAGTCAGATTGTTGTACATTCTGGAAATATTTGGACCTTCACATGTGATCCAAGAAGTCGAAGATTAAAGAGTGATGCTATAACACAAAATGTTGTTTGATTTGCTAAATTGATTCATTTTGCTAAATGAATTTCTGCATTTTATGCAACAATTAAATCTAAATATAAAGATTCCAGCTGATTTTATGATGCTCAAACGCTGAACAACTTGCTGCATATGTCTCATTCTGATGTGGAAATTTAGACAAAGCTAAAAGAAATAAAGGCTTCAATTTCAGGTTTCCAAATATTAAAGGGCATTTCCAACCAATTTTTCACTCATTGAGCATCTTTAATCTGCTCATATTTTAAAACTACAACACCTGGACAAGTGGTTCCCAACCTGGAGGGTCTGTGATTCACCAAGGAGGTCCTCAGAAAAATTGTGAGGATCTCTGCACATAAAAGTGCCTCGTGATTTGTGTCTTGAGAGGCGCTATACAAAAAATTATTTCTTCTTCCTTTTCTTCTTCTACAATAGCTTGTGCTGTGAGGTTACCACACAGCCAAGGGATCCTCAAGGACAGAAGATTGGGAACCACTGACCTGGACCAGATTCTGCTACTGTGATAGATTCTGTTTAACATACGTGTAAAACATAACTTGATAATTGAAACAGCGTTTTTGTTTTGCTTCATAAATGTGAGAATGACGATGTGCTAAAATGTATCTAGTCTGACCGAGCAGATCTGTGGGTGCTCAGCACCCCTGAACCTCTGATGCTACAATCGCCCCTGGCTGCATTAATCAAACATGGCATCAACATGAATGCTAAACAAATTCTAATGTTGGCCATTTTCTTTAAAGTTCTGGCCAATCTCACTATTTGGTGGGGGTGATGGGACATTAAACCCGATATTTACTCCTTTTTATACAAACTACTTGGTCTTTTTAAAATGCCAGTAAATAAGCATCTTGATGAATTTGAATATATATAGTTCTTTAAAAACACTAAATTATACTTGAATGCAAACCTGGTTTAACCACTGTGGTATATATATGTGTTGGCAGCGCGCAAACCTGTTTTAGTTTTTCCACCCGTGTCTATTGTACTTGTTTTATGTTGTCTGTTGTATTTAATCTGTTTTGTATGTTTCATTTTTGTCACATTTCCTCGTGTGTGTGTATGTGTGTGTGTGCGTGTGTGTGTTTTATAGCGGTTCCTAACAGTATCAGTGGAATCTATAGATATTTTAATGTGAGTTTGTAACTATTCTTCTTGCCCAGAATAAACCAAGGGTAAATTCCAAGTCTTGTTCACTGGTTAAACAAAATTTTAATCAATTTGATAAACTCAAAAATAAAACTGAATCTATTAAGGATCAAATAAGTTTTCTGGTTATTAACTAATAAATAAATGTTTTCACTAATTCAGTTTTGGGTCACTGAACAGAACATTCAGCTTTAAGTCAGCAATAAAATAAATCTACATCCATCCTTTTTTATCTGGGGTCAGTTCGCGGGGGCAATAGCCTTAGCAAGGAGGCCCAGACTTTCCTCTCCCCAGCCACTTGGGCCAGCTCCTCTGGGGGAATCCTAAGGTTTCACTGGCCAGCCAAGAGGCATAGTCTTTACAGCGTGTCCTGGGTCTTCCTTTAGGTCTTCTCCCAGTTGGACGCACCCAGAAAACCTCACTAGGGAGGCATCCAGGAAGCATCCTAACTAGAGGACCAAGCCACCTTAACTGGCTCCTCTCGATGTGGAGGAGCAGTGGATCTACTCCAAGCCCCTCCCGAATGACCGAGCTTCTCACCCTATCTGGAGAGCCTAGCCACCCTGCGGAGAAACCTTCTCTTTGCCGCTTGCGTCCATGATCTCATTCTTTCAGTCACTACCCAAAGCTCGTGACCTTAAGTGAGGCTTGGAACGTAGATCGATCTGTAAATTGGGAGCTTCGTTTTCCAGCTCAGCCCTCTCTTCATCACAACAGACCAGTAACAACATGTGCATCACTGCAGATACAGAACCAATCTGCCTATCAATCTCGCGTTCCATCGTTCCCTCATGACTCAGGTTCATCACTCATGAACAAGACCCTAAGATACTTAAATTCCTCCACTTTGGGCAGGACCTCATCCCTGACCTGGAGAAAGCATTCTACCATTTTCTGATTCAAGATCATGGTCTCAAATTTAGAGGAGTTGATTCTCATCCCAGCTGCTCCGGAGATCACGTTCTGATGAAGACAACAGGACGACATCATCTGCAAAAGGTAGAGACTCAGTTCTTAGGCCACCCAAACAGATCCCCTCAACGCCTTGGCTGCACCTAGTAATCCTGACCATAAATGTTATGAACAGAATCTGTGACAAAGGGCAGCCTTGGCGGAGTCACGGAAATGAGCCCAACTTACTGACAGCAATGCGGACCAAGCTCTAACACCGGTCATACAGGGACCTTTCAGAAGGCTTTGTACCCCAAACCCCAAAGTACACCACAAAGGGGGGTATCTCTACGTTTATTTCTAATAACACAGAGAGACTATACACTAAAACACTATAAACTGTACATTCATATAAAAAACTAGTTAGTTCAAATGAAAGAAATATTTCAATTTAGATTCAAAATGTATGAATAAAAATAAGTTTTTTTAAACAGGCAAGGCATCTTTATTTATAGCAGCTATTTATACAGCAGAAATGTGCAGGATTGGAGCCCCTGAGGAACCCCTGCTTTAGATGTTGAACAGAGAGGGAGGATCCTGCTACCTTGTGGACAGATGACACCACAGCTGCTTGATCACAACATGGTTTGCATAAATGCCAGCAGATGGCAATGTTGCCCCTTTAATGTTGCATTTTTTATTATCAAAATTTAGTTTAATCGAAAGATTTTGATTAGTTCTTCTTACTAGACAAATGCATGCAAACTGACTGCAGGTTTTATTCAACCTCCAGTTCTCCCTCTTATAAAGATGAGAGAGGCCTGTCATTTTCATCAAAGGTGTTGCTCAACTATGAGAGACAAACTTTTCACTCAAAATCTGATGATACATGGCCCCATTCATTATTTCCTTTACACAGATCAGTCGTCCTGGTCCCTTTGCAGAAAAACAGCCCAGAAACATGATGTTTCCACCCCCATGCTTTATAGTAGGTGTGGTGTTGTTTGAGTGCAACTCAGCATTCTTTCTCCTCTAAGCATGACAAGTAGGGTTTTTAACAAAATGTTCTATTTTGGTTTCAAATGACCACATGACATTCTCTTCAGGATCATCCAAATGCTCTCTAGCAAACTTCAGAAGGGCCTATACGGTGCACTGGCTTAAGGGAGACATATCTGGCACTGAAGAATTTGAGTCCATGGCAACGTAGTGTGTTACTGATGGAAGCCTTTGTAACTTTGGTCCTAGCTATCTGCAGGTCATTCACTAGTTCCACGTGTAGTTCTAGGATTTTTGCACGCAGTTCTTGTGATTGTTTTGTTCCCATTGGTATAAGGTTTTGCGTGGAGCCCCTGATCAAGGGATCATTATCAGTCTTGTATGTCTTCTACTTTCTAATAATTGTTGTCTTTAAATTATTTTTCATGTGTTTCTGTCCAGTTGACCTAAATCCAGATAAGCCCATTACAGACATTGTACCTGCCTATCAAACCAAATGACAGTTTACAACTAATGAAATTAAATGTCTATTTGGACAAATAACATTTAGTAAAAGGACAAACTTAATTTCTTTCCTGAAACTGTTATTTCAGTTGCATTTACTTTTATTTCATTTATTTGAGTAGTTTATTCATTTACCAAAACATTTTCAATGTCAGTCACCTATTGAAAAATAGTCACCCTAGACCAGAAATGAATGGAATTTTATGCCCTTTCGCAATAGCAAAAATGAAGCAGCCCGGTATTTGCAATGTCTTTTTTTTACTGCGGCAAAACCACAGGTGGGTTTACAGTTTGTCTGTGATCTTTTTGCTACATTTTAGATATTTGAACAACGTTTTCTCCACATACTTTTACTTTGAAAAATCTTCCGGAAGTGGTGCTTTGCACTTGGCATGCGCACATTAGTGCTGAAGAAGAAAATCTTCAGTGTTAACCCAGCGAGTGGAGTTTGTAAACACTAGCAAGCCGGGCCACTTCTCCTAGTCATTGGGATGGGAATATAAGGTAATACCAATTTTTAAACAGGCGTATTTCTTTTACGCGTAGTTGTTAATGTTGACACTATCAACATATACAGTGTAATGGGGCAATATGTTAACGCGTTAGCCTAGTTTTTAGCAATTGTAGACCTGGCTGTGGGGTTTAGCATCGCCGTGTAAACTTGAGAAGTTAGCGTCAATAGGCGAGTATTGCTTCGTTTGATTTTTGTTTGATTTAAGTAACATTCATCTCAGTGCTTTAACGCTTTCTCTATTTTACTATACTGGTGGAAAAAAATCATTTGTCAGCAAAATAGCAGAACATTGTCTGAATAAGCTAACCATAAGTTAGCCATTTTGAGCTAAGCTACTTCGTATTCTAATGAAGAATGTCAATTTGAGAACAAATAAAATACTGCAAACATTAGTTGAGATTAGATGGACCACAAGGCCTACTAAAGTGGCATTTGATATAAAAAAAACCCAAACAAGTAATTGTTTAGGTGTTAGCGCCTCATAACAATGTATTTTTGTTTATTACCGTTGTTGTTTTTATTATTAATAATTCATTTCTAGGCAAAATCTCAACATTTGTTTAGCAAAGGCAATGTGAGCTTTTAAAAAGTGTTTTCTTAACTTTGAGTACATTTCTGAATGTTCCTAAATGTTAATTTCTATCTCAGAGTGATCAGCTTTCCTTTATTGTCAGTGTGTGTTAATTGGATGGAACTGGATAAAAAGCTGAGCCAGTTTTGATTTTCATCAGATCCTCTTTCTGTTCTCCTCTGCAAACTTGCCTAATGAGGGTATTCTAACAAAACACAACATCACAAAAAAAAAAAGAAAAAGAAAAAAAAAAGAAATATATTTGTAGAAAATCAGTTGAATTTAGACCGGTTCAATTTCATCATTATGTGCAATAAAAAACTGATCACTCTTTTCAGCAAAAATCTTAGAAATGTATTGTATGTAAAATGTAGAACACAATAGTAAATGAGTTAGATTGTTTACATATTATGACTAATTAGCTCCCTTCCTTTGACCTCAGACCTATGAAGAATAAATAATTTTTTCCCCTTCATCATCTTGAATCTTAACGTGTCACAACTCTTATCTATAACATCAGCATGTGCATGCAAACTTGTTTCCAGTTTGTTTGTTTGCTGCTGAGACCTCTTTAAAATATATTTTAATTTAATCAAAAATTTCTTGTTCAAAGTTATATGTGTTTTTGTCAAGTCCAGCTTTACAATAGTGTTGGTGTTAAAAGTCTGTATAAATTAAAGAAGAAACTAAATGCATTTTCTTATGTTGTGTGTCAGGTCAACTCCTGCCAGTGAGTTTATTCATACATTTTGGGGTTATTTAGTTTATTGTACACAGGTCTGATCTGATAACAATGAGAAATTGTCAAAATAAAACAATGACCAAAGGGGAAACAAATACACGTGAGTACGGGAATTTCAGAAGCTTCTGTTATTTAGCTCTCTGAGAGCCGCAGGGTCAAATAAAAACTCAAACATTATCGAAAATAAAATAAAAACTTTTAAGGACAGAAACTGAGAATAGAGTCTGATTTTTTGTCTTCACAGACTAAGCTGAAAACGTTAACCCAAATTTAGTTCTTCAGTGCAAGGACACAAAGCCAATGCGCAGGTAGGTGTGGTGTTTAAGTATGAGGTAAGCTAAATGTGATACTCTTACAGGATGTGGGTGTTATTTTCAGGCTCACCTTAGACTTCATAATGAGAATAATTTAAATGTACAACCATAACTTGATAGTAAGATGTAAACATTATGCCCAAATATTTACAAAAACAAAATTCACCAGGATTCTCATGTAGACATTACACAAACATTAAATACCGTCAGATTTATTTGGAAGATATGTCTTAAAGGTGCAGAATGATATGCTCTAGTGGTGAAAATGTCCTGGAATTAGATGTAAAAACTCAAATTCATGCTACATGGTGTAGTTTTATCTGATTAAAGGTTATTATTTCCTGTTTTCTAACTTCCTGCAGACTGGGTAGATCTGACCTACTTGATCTACTACAATATGGACTATATAAACTCAAATCTGTGGTCAGTTATTAGCTGTTGGGGTTAAATATCCTGTCCAGCATGATCTGAGTGTAAAACAGCATCACCATTTTTGGTAAAACACCTGTGTTGTATCACAGCCTGCCTGTCATTAGGGAAGATTCATCAAAGTTGTCTGAAATGTTCTAAGTCACCACTGAATGAATGTTCATTCATCTCATCTAAAGCACGGCATAATCTGACTGCACATCTTAGCTAAACCTTTGAAGGTTTCTATATAAATCCACTGGTGTAACGGGAGGAGCCTGATTATAATGATGATGACACCTGTTGGAAGTTTAAGTGTCAGAGGTCTGGCTGTTGCCGTGAACATGATCCGAGGTCAATCCCAGAACCAGAATGACCCGGTGTCCACGGTTCTAAAGGATGTGAGGACTGACTGGTGTAATTATATTTACACTGACTGCTACATTACAGCAGCTAAAAATAGACCCTTAGATAAGGGACTGTATTCAGCTGATGGCCACATACTCCATCCTGGTTTAGGCACCGGCAAAAAGCTGGTTTCATGTGACAATGTACCATATAGGCATATATTCTAGAGCTTAAATCCAGCAGGACTTTTCCATTTATCCCAGGACAGGCCTCTAGTCGGTGCAAACCCAGTGACTTGCACTTCCGATGCCAAGCTCAGTGGCTGAGAGATCAGTGCCAAGTCTCACTCTCCTCTCCCTTTACAATGTGCTGCAGATATCTGTGAGTTCTCCTCATCCTTTTGTAGTTTCAGTCTGGTTCTGTGTGCTCCATTGATGATTTTCAGCGTTGTAAGGGTTCTACTAGCCTGGAAAGCCATCTTATTTAGCCTGGCCTGCCAGACTCGTCCTCTGTTTAATTATGCACAGAGAAAGAGTCTGGGAACTCTCCTATTCAAATAACCCCACCCCGTGAGAATTTGAACCGAGCCAATCAGCGCTGAGTAGCGTATCGTACACACACCACAACACCGAGTTTGTCGAACATGACGACTGAAGCGGAGTTCGCTGCGGCTCTTTCTTCTGGTCTAAATAACTTGGACACAACAAGTAGAAGCATTAAAAGCCTTTCTTCTAAAGAAAGATGTTTGCACTGTCGCCAGACTCCATTTTTACTACAGCTGAAAAAACTACAGCGTCGCGGACGTCACATACACATCCACGCTCAGTTTCTCATAAACAACTAAGACAGCGGCAGAGTTTGCTGCGGCTCTTTCCTCTGTTCTGAATGACTCAAATGTCTTTAAAACCACAAGTAGAAGCGCTAAAAGCATTTCTTCTAAAAAAAAAATAAAAAAATAAGCTATTTTTGCTGTTGCCAGATACCTTTTTTTTTTTTTTTACTACAACTAGAAAATTACAGCGTCGTGCGGTACATTCGGGATTTCCGTCTTTTTTTCTGATTGGTTATTCTTGAGCTGGCTAGTCCCGCCTCTCATGGTGCTCTTTGCCGAGAGTTACCAGACTCAGTCTCTGTGTAGAATGAAACAGAGGATGATTCTGGCAGGCCAGGCTACATCTTATATCTGTAGTGAATATATAGTCTGGCCACAACCCATAGGCAAATCTCAGTGGTGGGGCGGGATCTATGGTATTCAAAATGGTTCTGCATGCTATTTTACAACAAATACGTACTCACAGCTACTTATGTCGGCCATACACCGTTGAAGACAACGCAGTTACATCCTTTTTTTTAAATGAAAGACTCCAGTACCTCTGTCTGTTGTTGACTCAAAGAAACGCCCAAGTCTAAAAAGTCCAAATGTGATGCCAAAGCCGTTTCAAATGAGCCCATCCCATCTTAAACGGTCTGCTCTGTCACACCTTCCCACCCACTAATGGAGCACTGTGACTGGCAGAACAATAAACTTCTCAGGCCAATGGTAGACTAGCTGAGGCTCCTATGGAGAGTGGCACATGTCTAGATTTCCAGGCTAGTGGTCTCTAGTATGAATTATTGCCTTTTGAGTTATTTCCTGTGGGGGAAAAAAATCCTGCTCCTGTTTCAGGACTGGGGGCAGGAATAGCAGGATTTGGAGTCTTAGTCCTCATTCACACCTGCTGCGGCGCAGATCTGGATGCCGAGCTCTGGAAAGTTTCCACGTGGATTTGTAAATTTTCCAGACGCCTCATGCAGGTTTTTGTAAAGTTAAAGAAATCACATGAGCCAGACAGGAAGTAAACCCGGTTTCAGCGAGGTGCATGTGGTGTAGTTCCACTTTGGTTTGTTCTTCGAGCTTGTCTTAATTATTGATGACGGGGATATCAGACCATTTATAAAAGAAGTGTTATACGTTTCTCCGTGAACCTCCACTTTAACACACCTTCAAGAACAGTTTATAAAAACTCTTCTGACCTCATCAGACAGTATTTTCTTTCATCTTCTCAAGCTGCTGAAAACAAGCGATATCTGGCAGAAATGGACTTATTATGATGGATCCTTGACCTCCAAATGTTTTTAAAAAGTGAAACCAGCAGCTGCTTGTTTTATGGGTTAGTGTTCAGGTGGGTTTAACAAAACTTAATTTGTTAAAATGCCAACTTGTAATCATGTAAACGTTACCCCTCAAGGACCACCAGCGCACGTCAGGACGCCACTGGAATGGACATCACCAGCCGCTGTACTTTGGGGGACCCCAACAAGCTCCCTGAAGGGGTCCCCCAGCCAGCACGCATGCCTTACGTTTCCGACAAACACCCCCGGCAGACCCTTGAAGTGATCAACCTGCTGAGAAAACACCGGGAGCTTTGCGATGTGGTGCTGGTGGTGGGCGCCAAGAAGATTTATGCTCATCGTGTGATCCTGTCCGCCTGCAGCCCCTACTTCAGGTATGGATGGACACTTGGTGGATTCAGTCCACGCGTTTCATACAGAAGACAACAGGGTTGTATCTGATGGTCTCCTCAGGGCGATGTTTACCGGAGAGCTGGCAGAGAGCAGGCAGACCGAAGTGGTTATCCGTGACATTGATGAGAGAGCCATGGAGCTGCTCATTGACTTTGCCTACACGTCACAGGTAAAAGCTTAGTCACAGTTCAGAATCAGCACCTTCAGCTCATATTAGTAACTGCTGTAGTAAGAGTAAGAGTTCCTGCTAAGCTAAAATGCATCTAATCCTCACAGGTGACTGTAGAGGAGGGGAACGTCCAGACGCTGCTCCCAGCAGCTTGTCTTCTCCAGCTGGCGGAGATCCAAGAGGCGTGCTGCGAGTTCCTCAAGAGGCAGCTGGATCCATCCAACTGTCTGGGCATCAGGGCGTTTGCTGACACACACTCCTGCCGGGAACTGCTCCGAATCGCTGACAAGTTCACGCAGCACAATTTTCAGGAGGTGTGTTGGTGCAAAAAGGACTTCCAGCATGACTGATGCTTCACACTTAGGTTTATCTTATCGTGTAGCTTATGCAGCTGCACCTTCAAGGTCTTGTTGTCCATCATATCTGCAACCGACACAAGTCGGAATCTGAAACCTCTCTCTGTGGCTTTTCCGTCGGTAACGCTGTAATTACGTGTTTAAAAATGTTTGAGTCCTGCCAGCTTGTTAGTGGGAAGGAGAGAAACGGGTTTCAGCTGCAGAACATTTAACACAACTTGTCCGCCCCGTTCTCTCGCTCCTGTCTTTGTTCTGGTTGGTTATAGGTACGACGGGCTCTTTGTGTGGCTGACATATTGTGACAAACGGGCTGACTCACCGACCGTGCAGAGCAGCAACACAGAGGCTGATCCTGGAGCACTTTTCTTTTCTAATGCAGATGTTCAGCGTTTGCCACAACTCCATATAATTTAAGCGCTTTCACTAATGAAGCATTCATCGTGATGAAACGCCGCTGGTTACGTGTGTTTTTACAGTTTTACGTTAAATGTTATTTGTTATTAACGCACTTCAGTTGTTTAGAACTGTTTATGACACACAGAGGTGGTTTAACCTGATTATTGACGCGAACGGAAACTGATTAGCTGCTTTAGGGTTTCAACCTTTAACCGGACTCATGTCTGACATGAAAGATGACGATGCAGAGGAGAAGCAGGTTACGCCGGGGACACACCGGCCGCGGAAGCGCCGCGAAAACGGGACCGCCTTCATTCGGCGCCCTTGTTAAGCTATTCTATAGACCACATGGGCCGCCGAAGCGCCTCGAATCGCCTCGCGCCGTGCAGCGATCGTTTCGGCGTCTGCTCTATTTTTTCGCGAGCCGCGGGTGAATCGCGTCAATTCTGGCAGGAAGTCAAACCTAGACATAAGAGGCAGGCCGGTAAAGTTAACAAAATAAAGCATTTCAAAATAAAATTCCGCAATAGTCAAAGGTGTTCGTAATCAGACACTGCAGAAAAACCACACGAACACACACACACACATACACACACATCGAACTTGTGTGCGTGTGTGACCACGTGAAGGGAGTGTGGTTTTGGGTGTCTTTTTTCCAGAGCAAACAGGACAGAGAGGCAGAAAGTCTGAGGCAAGCAGTTAGGATGGATGACTTTAAATTAGTTATGGAAGTTGAGAAACACAAGGAGCTGTACGACCCCCGAAAAACATGATTATGTACGTACCCATTTCTGAAGAAACTGCTAGGATACAGCTGCAGAATTGGAGCGGGTTCCAAGAGATTCAACTGGCAGAAACAACTCATACCATAGGTACGCGCACACACACACACACACACACACACACACACACACACGCACGCACGCACGCACGCACGCACTCAGAGGAAAAGAGCTGAGAAAAGGCAGAGAGGAAATGGAGGACACCGAGTGCTTAAAAGAAAAACTACAGCTGAGCCGAGGCGCGCCTCGACTGGGGCGCGGCGAGCAGCGGCCGAATTTCGTGAGCGATTCGCTTCACTGAGCTTCACGGCACTTCCGCGGCCGGTGTGTCCCCGGCGTTAGAGTGGAACTGTGGGACTTCATGAAGGCTGATCTACTGATGCACGGATGCCCCTCTGTGTGTTCTTGTTTCAGGTGATGGAGAGTGAGGAGTTCATGCTGCTCCCTGCCAACCAGCTGATCGACATCATCTCCAGCGATGAGCTGAACGTGCGGAGCGAGGAGCAGGTCTTTAACGCTGTGATGGCCTGGGTGAAATACGGCATCCAGGAACGCAGACCCCAGCTGCCGCAGGTCTGTGTGTTTGGGAAAAGCCCGTCTTCCGTTTCAGGGTTTCATTTTGTGAAGTGAGAGGGATCTAAGGTTGTGTGTTCTGCAGGTCCTGCAGCATGTTCGCTTACCTCTTCTCAGTCCAAAGTTCCTAGTGGGAACTGTGGGTTCAGACCCTCTCATTAAAAGTGACGAGGAGTGCAGGTGGGTGAAGGCATTAACCAGCAAATAAATGCTGCTGCAGATTTGTGCTCAAGAACTTTTAGTCTTAACTTGAACTCGGGTTGTAACTTTTTTAAGCAAAATGTTCAACGTAAAACACAAGATGCAGGGAAATGAGCAATTTCTCTGTGATTGAGACCATTTCTTTCTGTCCGATGTTTCAGAGATCTTGTTGACGAGGCGAAGAATTACCTGCTGCTGCCACAAGAGAGGCCGCTGATGCAAGGCCCCAGAACCCGGCCAAGGAAACCCATCAGATGCGGAGAGGTTCTCTTTGCAGGTCTTTATCTTCAGGCACAAAAACATAAATCGACATTTCACCATTTTCACTTGTATTTAACTTCCTAATAGACAGAATACAAAATACGTTAACCTCCTCAACGCTGCTCGTTCTGTAGTTGGTGGTTGGTGCAGCGGAGACGCCATTTCCAGCGTGGAGCGCTACGATCCACAGACCAACGAGTGGCGCATGGTAGCATCAATGAGTAAACGACGGTGTGGAGTTGGTGTCAGTGTGCTGGACGACTTGCTGTACGCAGTGGGCGGTCACGACGGCTCGTCGTATCTCAACTCTGTGGAAAGGTTAGGTTGCAACAGCGGAACAGGCTCTTTTATGATAGCGCCGCACACCAGCCACACCTGTTCATATTTGTTAGACCGACACAACTATCCTCAGATTAGTGGACGTTTACGTTATCATTTGATATGAGCTGGTTTTCACCCGTGCAGGTACGATCCAAAAACCAACCAGTGGAGCAGCGACGTGGCGCCGACCAGCACCTGTCGGACCAGCGTGGGTGTCGCTGTGCTTGGTGGATACCTGTACGCTGTGGGGGGACAAGATGGCGTTTCTTGTCTCAATATTGTTGAAAGGTATCTCTTTAATTTAGAAGTAACATATAAAACCTTTTCATCTGTAGTTGTAATAATAATAATAATAATACATTTTATTTAAAAGCGCCTTTCAGGACACCCAAGGTCACTTGACTGAAAACACGTAATAAAATACAATAAAACAATAATAAAACCCAAACAAGAAAAAAAAGAAAGAAAACAAAACCAGAGAGAAACAGTACAGTGTACAGTCACATCCCAGCTTTATACACAAACTAATCTGATGATGTTAAAATGTGGATGAAACTGTTCTAGTTTTGTTTTTGTCCAATTAATAGATGACTATTAGTTTTCCTGCATGAGTTATGGTGTTGTGTAACTTGTTGTTGGGGGAATGCGTGCAGGTATGACCCAAAAGAGAACAAGTGGACCCGTGTGGCCTCGATGAGTACCAGGCGACTTGGTGTAGCGGTCGCTGTTCTCGGAGGGTTTCTTTATGCTGTTGGAGGCTCTGATGGGACGTCTCCTTTAAACACAGGTACTTTCTCTTGTTTGAGTGTAAAGTTTACCCCTCGCCAAAGCTGCAAACACACCTGCAGATGTATGATTGGCTCACGGGTTTTGTTACTGAAACACCGTAATGCAACCATAACTTACAAGTTTCAACTTTATCTTTCATCTGACCTTATCTCCTTCTTAGTGGAACGATATAATCCTCAGGAAAACCGCTGGCACACCGTGTCTCCCATGGGAACCAGGAGGAAGCACCTTGGCTGTGCGGTCTACCAGGACATGATTTACTCTGTTGGAGGGAGAGACGACACTACAGAGCTGAGCAGCGCCGAGAGATACAACCCCAGGACCAACCAGTGGTCTCCTGTGGTGGCCATGACCTCCAGACGCAGTGGGGTGTGTAATCCGGATGACAACTTCGCTGCTTTTAACTCACATTATTAATTTAAAGGAGCCACATGGAAGAATTCTACAGTGCAATAATAACAAAACAGTCTAATGTCTCGATCATGTTGGAAGGAAGTTCATACTGAAACAGATTTCCTTCTCCGCCAGCTCAGGGGTTTCTCCTTTCATAAAAGCTACAGAGGGACGTAGTCTTTGTTTACAATCTGTGAGGTTGCCGAATCTGTGGCGAGCTCATGCTGCAGAGCACGCATTTGTAATTCAACATCAGCCCATAGTTCTTTAAAGAACTGAAGCCAGTTAACAGGAGCAACCCAGAAGTAATTTCTTGTACCCCTAAAGCCTGGTTCATGCTTCTCCGTCAGCTCCGCAAGGGACAGACACGCACGGATTGACGGAAGCGTTTTGCTCTCATATTTCTCCGTCTCTTGGAGAGCGTTGCAAAGCAAATCCCCGCCAGGACCACAGAGGGCGTAGCGCTGTTCTGTGGTATCCTGTCATGTATCGGTCCAGGATCGTGTGTTTATATTGTGTTTTTTGTGTATATAAGAGACTTTTAACACGGACATATTTGTCTCTCATTCTCCCACCGCTTCATGCGCTCCCCACCTCTAAACCCACGTTTCCTGTCATTTCCGTCCACAAATAAAACGCTTGCTGCGCATCTTTTCACTCCTCCAGTCACGGGAGGATGAAACGTTCATATTTTTAGAATTTTTTTGCGAGGTATTCTTCAAGCTTCTCCGTGTCTGCCGCTAGTTATCCTCGGCTCTCTTTGCAATGGCGGCGCTGTAAACAACAGCGGCGTCCTGACCAATCACAAGCTTGCATAATCCGTCTCGTTCGACGGATGTTTAAAAAAGTGGGCTCGACTCCGTACGTACTTGCGTGCCCTACGCAAGGACGGATAATGGCGTTGCGTGTCTCCGCACTGACGCAGACGGAGAAGCATAAATCAGGCTTAAGAAGCCACGGCATCTTTTAGTTTTACCCTAAAATCAGGTGAAGCAGGCTAAAGGCTAATGATGAGCTAACAATGTTAACGGTGAATTAGAAGCAAATAGTCAGCTCTAAAAATATCTCTTTTTCAATTACAAACAACTGGATGTTCCCGTGAGACGGATGTGTGAAGCGAACGAGTCAATTGTGGCGTTTTACTTCCTTTAATGAGTCGTTCAGAACTGTAACCGCAAGCTAACAGCAAGACTGCAAACAACCACGCTTCCTGTAATGCTGGAGCTATATCCGGTGTGCCTGTTTCGGCACGGAGAATTCAGATGCGGGAGAAAGTAGCTTCAGGCGCCAGGATTTGGAGTCTTACTTCCTGTTAGTTGGACGTCTTGCCTCTGATTGGCTAACAGCAACATACTCTACTGTTTGCTCTGCGACGTTGATGTTTTCTCTCCACACATAACACAAGCCTGGTGGAGTGCTGCTAATGCTAACAGTTGGTTTCTGCTAGCGAAGACGTTCTCCGCACAGCTTGATGTAGATCTGACTTTTCAGATCCTAGAATTTCACCGTCTATCTTCTATCAGACGCTAAAGCAGGAGATAGGTGTAAGACACAATGTTCTCATTCAGCCTGCATGTTAAACAATGAGTGATAAAAGTTCTCTCGGTGAAGGACCTCATCAGCCTGGTGAAATACCTAAATAATGCAGTTTGTTGTGTGAGCCTGGATGCTAACTGTGTGTGTTTCTAGGTGGGCTTGGCTGTAGTGAACGGTCAGCTGATGGCAGTTGGAGGTTTTGATGGAACGACATATTTAAAAACTATAGAAGTGTATGATCCAGACGCCAACACATGGAGGTAAATGATGAAGAGAACATGGCCGTGAGGCAGTGGCTTGTCTTGGGTTGGAGTTAAACAACATTTCAGACCGTATTCTAACTCTAAAGCTGAAGCTCAGCTGTTTAATAATGAGACCATTTCACTTGCTGCTGGATTTTCATTTCTATCTCTTGAAGAGTTAATTGAAGCCTTCTGATTGTTTGATGTCTTTTGTTTGATTTCTTTCCAGGTTATATGGAGGAATGAACTACCGGCGGTTAGGTGGAGGTGTGGGCGTCATTAAAATGACTCACTGTGAATCCCACATATGGTAACGCCACCTCCGACCCTCCCCTCCGCTCACACGCCCTCATCACCTTGTAACGACTGCTTCACCAGCTCTCCGGCCTCTAAAAGAGACCGTGAGAGAACAACCATGGGAATGGGAGGAAGGGTGGAAAAGAGGGTCAAACTTTAGAACTCTAGTTCATCCTCAGAACTCACTCAAAGGTCATTAACTTTATTCTGGTGGTGTTCGTTGATCCACAGCACTCACAGTGAAGTTCAGAGATTAGAAGTTTACAAACATCACAAAGCTTCCGGTTCGGAGGGAAAACTCCTCCTGTGAACTCCCCATGTTTTCATCATCCCAGCCTCAGGGTCCAGATTTACATCAGCGTGTGTGACGGACGAGGCTCATCGTGACCATTATCGCTACTCGGAGAGATGATCTCATTTTGGAGGCTCAGAGGAGCTCAGAACTCTCAAAGCATCTCTAGTAGAAGGCTGGCCACCGAAACTCAGGAGCCAGAGGAGAATGGAATCTGTTTATGCTCGTGTCTTTCATTTAGGCTTTGATACACCCATCCCAGCCGTAGCTGTCAACGTGTAGCATCAGCAAAAGAGGGGATGTTGTGCAGGACAATGATGTGCTACTGAGCACCAAACAGGTCTGGAACACTAGCCTTGAATGTGTAGAGTTTAAAAAGTGTGGAATATTCTCCAAAGTTACAAATGTTTCCCCTGAAAGGGTACGGCTAACGTTCCAGCAGAACTTTAGATACTCAAGTGTCTCGTTTATTTATGAGCTGTTTTTTCTGCAGTCAGCTTAGCCTTCGGAGTCAAAACAGGTCTAAAAAATGGGTGCTTTTCAGTGGTAGAATAATACGCATCAGTTCTACAACCTGGTGCATATTACAGTATCTGCACATGTATTCCATGTTTCTTTTGGTTATTCTATACTTGCTGGTGGGGAGTAAAAACAGATTGTCATCACTTATGCAGAAAAGGATCGTTGTGCAATAAGTTCAGCCTCACGCTCAAATTAGCACCAACGTGTAAATGTTCTAGTATCAGAACTGGCATTTTTCAGTGTAGGGAGTTTTCTTCTGCAGCTGAAGGATGTTTTTCTTGTTTCTCATAGTTCCCAACAGTTCCTTTCCTCACTTAGAAGTAAATAAAAACACAATTATTTTTTTCTATAGGAATAAATAAATTAACATGTGGAACGGTCAGTTTTAACATGCTGATTCCCCACGATAATGTTCTGTTCTCACAGGCCCTTTTTCCTGTCGGGAGAGGTCACAATGGCACCATCTGCTGGAGGGTGGTTGTAGTGCAGCAACAACTCGGTGGATTTGGAGCTGATCCTAGCTCAGATCGTAGGGCATGATAGTGAGTTTATTGCACTGTGACTGGAACTGTATTTCAGTAGTTTTTATGGATGTTTCCAGATAAATGGGGAAGTTTGACCAGCTTGTTCAGAAGACATTTCAGGTCTTTCAGCCACGGCTCTGTGCAGAGGGAGATATTTCCTTATTGAAGCTTGTGTTTGGGTTAGCTCGGTGCTGCACGCAGTTCATCACAGCTCTGTCACAGACTTGAGGCTGAAAGTGAAACAGACACAGGCAGAGGAAGAGAATACACTTTTATTATTTTCTCATGTGGAAGAAGGACCTAACCTGAATGTAAGTGTGTCTGAATATTTAGAGATGTGGTTGGGTTTAGTTTAGGGTATGTGTAACAGGTTATTACTGGACACAGACCCCTAGCTTTGCTTTAAATATGAATGTTCATGCTGTGGAAAACTCACTTGAATTTTTAAATCTGAACATTTCCTGTTTTGTCTAAAGTTGAGATTAAAGATGAGCTGTGCAGCGTGCCCTATGGTCTGTCCGCCTGGCTTATTTAAGACTCACCAGCATCTCCACTTCACTCTTATAAACATATACATTAGTGGCTAATAAACCACCCTGCTATCACTGAGCTTTTTAATATGTCCTTTTATTTTCAAAAACATGTTTTCCAATTTAGAAGCAGTTATTCCTTCCTGATGACATGCATCAGCTTAAATCTGTTTCTCTAGATCTATTGACCTAAAGATTATGGCCGACCCAAGCACCCCGGCTGTTCTTGGTGTTCTGGATCAACATTTCTCCTGAGTAGTGTTCATAACAGCAGCTCTGCAGTAAACCTGTTCAACATGAATTTGAACTTTGTGTCTTAAGAAGGCAAAATGTTTCTGTGAGATGTTTTTGATTACGCTTAAAATGAGGTTGCTGTCCATTTAAAAGGAGGTGGAGAGTTGTCTCCTGTTGCTGCTGCAGCAGAGAGGAGGTGCTTCATTTACGTCGTGTAAGGTCCAGGGACATGTCGGACCATCATTAATAATTATTTGTGACAGAAGCTAATTTAAATAGTGTAACATGAAATGGCTATGGCCTGAGTCACATTTAAGTTTAGCCTCGCTGTCATAATGTTTTCTGTCATCTTTTGAGTGGCTTTAATTGAGTTATTTTTAAACAAATGGTAAAAACAACAGATAAGGCCATAATTTCCTGTTCCTTTTTTATTAGATTTTTCAGCATCACTGCTGTATTCCATGTAAATGAAGTTTACAGCTGGATTTTAACCTCATTTATTCTAAAATAAAATAAAGTCATGGCCTAAATTTACTCACAGGTTAAAACTAAAGATTTTAGTGGAAAACGTCCAGAGCAGAAAAAAGCTGTTCGAATTTTCTAACTCATCCAGCTGCTTAAATGAGTTAGTCTCTTGAATGGATGGGATTGTGTGTGTGCGTGCGCGCGCATGCCCCAAGTAGGAATTTTGAATGACTATGAGCTCATTTCTAGACATCAGTTACTGTTGGTAAAAGAAGAGATGGTCAGCAGTTTAATATCACACATCTGTAAATAACCAGAAAACGGGCTACTCTGCATCCATGGTGGCATCCGATGCTCCACAGACCTCCAGAGAAAAACCTCATGTTGCAGAAAACATGAAGTTCTGCAAAACATTTACTGATGATATTATATTCTACTGTTTGTGTCACAAATACAAAAACAGAGGAAAATGTGGTCCACTGAAAAGCTATGAGGCTTAAAACAGCCTTTGTGACACGGTATGGCACATGAAAGGAACTTTAAGTGGACAAATAGTAAAAGTGAATGAAACATTTCTGCATTCTGCATTTCTGTTTTGGAGGTGATGCGTATGTGGTGTTTATTAGGAGGAAACGAGAGCAGTGTAGCTGTAAACAACGTGTAATCCGTAAATGTCTAAAGATGTGAGAAGATATGTAACCCTGGGTTGTATTTGTTCTGATGCGACAGATCCACCTTGTGCATGAATTTGTGTTCGTGTGAAATCATAAGTTTTTTATGAGGACTGGATGAACATGGGGGAACAACTCCCTTCTTTGATCTGCATCTCTCTGCAGCTGCAAACACTCAGGGCCATCCATAGTATTGACCAGATATTTCACCACCCAAAACAGACCTGAAGTCTGATGCATAAGTAATGAGTACACCTAAATAAACTAGTATTCATAAAAGGAAGAAATTTCAAAAGCTTTCTTCATGCAGTGTGTGTGCACACTTTCCCAAAGACCTGTATGACTTGTGTGCAAAGATGGAAATAGATGACAACTGAATTAGGATTTTTTTTAAAGTGTGTTACTTGTTTCTTATCAAAAGCTTTTGTAAGAAATTGTTGGTGCTTTTAACAGTTGCTGAAACCCCCCAAGGCGCTTTACAACGCAATCAGCCATTCACCCATCTACACACACATTCACACCCTGGTGATGAGCTACATAGTGTAGCCACAGCTGCCCTGAGGCACACTGACAGACATATCTCCATCTTCAGGTTAAAACTCGGCTCCACATTGATTTAGAATCAGCCACAGCTGACTGCTGTAGAGCTGCTGGGCGACGTCAGGGCAGTACTACATGGCTGCACTGCTGAGTCTCGGCTACACCTTCACCTGGCTCAACCACTCACCTGCTGATGTGACATGCTGGTGCTCAGAGCTGCTAGCCTCCTTAAGAAAAACATCCTTCCCTGTATTCTGGTGATCGCGGTGAACAGGAAATCCTCCTTCCTGCAGTCAGTTTTTGTGTCTGCTCTTCTCGGTGAGTTTGCATTTTGTGTGTGCCGCTTATTAACGAGTCTTTTTCTGACTGAAAAACTCTTAAGAGCACATGCGGGGTGTTGAGGAGGGTGCTGGCAATCATTGCCTTAGGGCTGTTCTCTTGTTCCTCCAGGCAACACCTTTTTTCGAAATATTTTTCTAACAGGAAGTCTGGTTGAAATAGTCTCCACCAATGGTGTCACTCACACTTTTAGAAAACCACCGAACAATCAAATCTAATAAGTGTGTACGGGAAGGGACTGAGTACACATCCTTGTGGAGCACCAGTGTCGATTATAATAGAGCAGACAGTGGTCTGCCCACCAAGAAATCCAAAATCCAGTTGCACATTGACGGCTTCAGATGCATCATATGTGAAGCTCTACCTGTTGTATGATCTACATGACTCCACATCATGACAGAAAGCATGTTTTTTGTTCTTTATTTTGCTTCATCACATTAAAATTTGTGTTTTGTCCTAAATTGTGGAGGCAAATTTTAAAAAAGTAGCAGAAAACTAAACTCTAAAACCACGAAGATCATTACCTCATAAGCTTCGAGTTAAAAGAAACAAGTGTCTGCTTCATTTTCTTTCACACCTCACCTAGGATCAAAAGATCAAGGTTTGTGGTAGAAGGATGGCTGTTACTGTGGAAACTAATAAAGAAGCAAATAATATGCTGCCTATTTTGTGTTACAATCTGCAAAATCTTGGCAAAAAAAAGGAAATCTCTCAGAGTAAAGCTCCTCTGTCCTCAGGAGGCACTAAACTATAAATCACTCCAGGTTTCTGCTGGGTTAAAGGATGACAGACTACGTGCTTTTAAGCTTCAGTGCTGAAGGATTTGTGTGAAAAGGCCCATGAGGATCTGCAGGTAATTCATTTATTCACATCTATCTCTGACATGAGAGGAATATGAACTGAAACATGGTCAAACATCCTTATCAATTATATTTTATTTTAATCAATATGTAAACACGTCTCAGATTCTTTCTCAGACTTTTATATCTTTTCAGAATGATTGACATACTTCTTCAGGAACATGGTGTGTTTTTCAGAAAATACCTGCACACTTAATCCAGTAACACCTAATCCATAATTTGGATGTCCAGTTTTTCATTTTAATCTGCTCTATAAGTTTTACAGTTTTTCTTTATCTCATGGTTCTTATTATATTTGTCTTATGTATATTTAAGTATACAGAAAGCCACACAGATCTATGTCACACGATAATTAGCCTTCATGGACTCACCCATCTTGGCTCGTGACGGGGAAGGCTGTTTAACATCCAGGACACAGCAGAGAACATCTACACTGGTAGAAGCTAACCGTTAGCGTTAGCAACTCCGCTACACAGCAGAACTCCTTCAGGCTTGTGTTATTTGTGGAGATAAAACATCATTGTTGCAAAGCAAACAGAGTCAGTGGTAGAGTTGCATTGATGTTAGCCAATCAGAGGCGAGATGTCCAAATCTCAAGAAATAAGAGTCCAAATCCTGTCATCTTCATCACCCCTCTGCTCCGGCTCACTTCTGGTTGCAGAAAAAGGAGCACCAGAGCTTTTCCCCCACAGAGATCTAATTACAAGGCAATCATTTATGCCACTGCAAATGTGTAGAAATACAAGTGAACTTGGTCTTTAAAAAAAGTCTTCAAATTAGATTACATAACTTTCATGCTCAGCTCCATGCTTTCGTTCTTTTTTTAAACACAGAAACAGTTTTGTTGACCTGTTTGTAGCTACGGTTTCGCCGACAGCTGCCGTCTTCTTCAGGCTGACGCTGATGGTGGCGCGTCACTTCCTTCTCCATTTATCTGCGGGCAGCAGAGGACGTTGTCGCCCTCTACTGCCCGCTCTTCCCTCTCCGACGGCAGCTGTCGGCGAAACCGTAGCTACAAACAGGTAAACAAAACTGTTTCTGTGTTTAAAAAAAGAACGAAAGCATGGATTTACAAAGACACAGCAAGAACACACCTAAGATGTTCATGCTCAGCTGTCTATTTTAAAAATTGAGTGCAACTTTTAATATATTTTTTTAATCTTCCGCTACATTTTTATCTAGACTCGAAACATAATGATGTCAAAACAAAACCTCCATGAGTAAATGCACTGGGGTAAACTCGGATCAATACTATTTTCTAAATTTTTTAAATTTGCAGTTTGAGCTTTTATGACCTTGTGAAATTTCACATTTAATGAAGACTAGTTGCATTTCTGACTGAAAATAATCAAAAACAATAGAAGCTGCATTATTCTGGTATTGAATTTGAAATAAAATAGAAAAATAATGTTAGTTGATTTAAAGTAAATTGACCAAAGCAATATGCAATGTTTTCAGCTGATGAAAATTAAATGAAAATACAATCTGCAAATCCCATGTGAGCTGCTGAATGAATGAACATACTTTTTTTCTCCCTGATCAGTTCATGTGTTCTCCGTAGAGGAAGTGGTCAGAAACAGATTCGAACAAAGATCTTTCTGGATGGCTCTTGACTCAAACATACATTTAGAATCTCCGTTGTTTATTTTTTCTTGGTTTATACATAGGGTAGCAACATTTTTACCTTGAATTGCTGACAGTTTCGCCGTCACACAGTCTAAAAAGTCTGTACGGGAAGGGACTGAGTACACATCCTTGTGGAGCCCTAGTGCTGAGTACAACAGTGGTGACTGTGACGCCGAAACTGTCAGCAATTCAAGGTAAAGTCTTTCCTACCCTGTGTATTAAGCAAGAAAAAAACTATGGAGAAT